CTTTGGAGAAAGGTTGAGAGTCAAACAGGGATTTCTAATCAAGATGGCAAAGGGGATCTACGAAAGGGTGGTAGACTTATATGCAAAATATAGAAATTGCTGTTTTGACTCTAGAATATAAGTGATAGTGTTTATTAACAGTGAGTAATGCGTGGTTCAATGTCATTATTTTTCTTATTTTTTTTCATAGTCATATCAAAAACATGGAACCAGGGAATGATACTCGAATTTTAGATTTTCTTCTTCTGGGACTTTCAGAGGAACCTGGACTACAACCCTTGCTGTTTGGATTGTTCCTGTCCATGTACCTGGTCACTGTGCTTGGCAACCTGCTCATCATCCTGGCCACGATATCAGACTCCCACCTCCACACACCCATGTACTTCTTCCTCTCCAACCTGTCCTTTGTGGACATCTGTTTCACCTCCACCACCATCCCAAAGATGCTGGTGAACATCCAGATACACAGCAAGGTCATAACCTATTCAGGCTGCATCACCCAGATATACTTTTTCATACTCTTTGGAGTTTTGGATGACATTTTCCTGACTGTGATGGCCTATGACAGGTTTGTGGCCATCTGTCACCCCCTGCACTACACAGTCATCATGAACCCCCGGGTCTGTGGACTACTGGTTATGCTGTCCTGGATCATGAGTGCCCTGAATTCCTTGTTACAAAGCTTAATGGTGCTTCTACTGTCTTTTTGTAAAGCCTTCGAAATCCCCCACTTTTTCTGTGAAATCAATCAGGTGGTCCACCTTGCCTGTTCTGACACCTTTCTTAATGACATGGTTATATATGCTGCAACTGTGCTGCTTTTTTGCGGACCACTCACTGGGATTCTTTACTCTTACTCTAAGATAGTCTCCTCGATTCATGGAATTTCAACAGCTCAGGGGAAGTATAAAGCATTTTCCACCTGTGCATCTCACCTCTCAGTTGTCTCCTTATTTTATTGTACAATCCTAGGAGTGTACCTGAGTTCTGCTGCCACACACAACTCACACTCAAGTGCAACAGCCTCAGTGATGTACACTGTTGTCACACCCATGCTCAACCCCTTCATCTACAGTCTGAGGAATAAAGACATAAAGAGGGCTCTGAAAAGCTTCTTCAGAGGAAAGCAATGAAAGGACCATTTTTCTTTCTTTTTTAATTGTGATAAAATATATATACCATAAGATTTGCCATTTTAACCATATTTAAACATACAATTCTGCAGAATTAATTACATTCACAATGCTCTGTAACCATCACCTCTGTGTATCTTTAAACTTTCTCATGATCATCTTAAACATAAACTCAAACATTTATTTCTAATGATTCCTCCACAGTGCCACCTACCCCCCAGCTTTTGACACCCTCTAATCTACTTCTGTCTCTGATTTAATTTTTTTTCCTAAATGACCCATGATAACTGTATACATTTACTGAGTGCAATATGATGTTGTGTACATTTACACAGTATGCAATGACCCTATCAGAGTATTTAACATGTCCATCAATTCAATCATTTGTTATTTCTTTGTGTTTGGAACATTCAGAATCTTCTCTGACATCTATTTGAAATTATGCAATAAATTGTTAACTGTATTCTCCCTACATTGGTAGAGAACACTATACCTCATTCTTTCTAGCTACAATTTTGTATCCATTGACCACCCTGTCTCTATTCCTCCTCCACCCCCCTTTTGCAGTGTATATAACCACTATTCTACTCTCTACCTCTATATGATTAACATTTTTTAGTTCCAAATATGAGTGAGAACATGGGGTGTTTTTCTTTCTGAGCCTGTCTTATTTCACTTAACAGTGTCCTCCCTGAACTAATCCATGTGGGTGCAAATGGCAGAATTTCATTCTTGTTTATGGCTGAGTAGTATTCCATTGTGTGTATATACCACATGCTCTTTATCCAGTCATATGTTGATGGATACATTAATTGATAGCATTCTTTCTTGACTCTTGTGAATACAGTGGCAATAAATGTGGGAGTACAGGTATCTATTCAACATGATGATTTCTGTTCCTTTGGATATATACGCACTAAAGGGATTGCTGGATCATATGGTAGTTCTATCGATAGTTATTTTGAGAAACCTCCATTCAATTTTCTATAACGACTGTACTAACTTGCATTCCCACCAAAACTGTATAAGAGTTACTCTTTCTCCATATCTTCACTGCAATTTATTATTTTCTGTCTTTCTGATAAAGTCATTCTAAATGGAGTGAGATGATATCACAATACAGTTTTGATTTGCATTTCATGAAGACTAGAATTTTTTCATACACTTGTAGTCCATTTGTTTATCTCCGTTTGAGAAATGTCTATTCAGCTAATTTGCCCATTGTTTTTTATTGTGGTAAAGTATATACAACACAAGGATTGTCATTTTAAGCATCTTTAGATGTACAGTTGCATGGCATTAATTTCATTCACAATACTGTGGAATCACTACCTCCACATGTTTCCAATTTTTTTTAACATTGTAAACAGAAAACCTTGTACCCATTAAACAATAACTTCTGTTATTTCTCCTCCTCAGTTTCTGGTGACCTCTAATCTACTTCTGTCTCTGAATTTTTTCTTTTTAATTTATTTTTATAACTGGCACATGTTAATTGTATATATTTATGGAGTACTCTGTGATATTTGGATACATTTACACAGTATGCAGTAAACTAATAGGGAACAGTCCAGCAATCCCACTAGTTGATATACATCCAAAGGAATAAAAATCAACATTTTTAAGGGATATGGGCAAACCAGATGTTATCACAGCTCTACTCACAATAGCCAAGATTTGGACCAACCTAAATGTTCATCGAAGGATGATTGAAGAAAGTCAACATGGTGTATATATACAATGGAATACTACTCAGCCATAAAAAGGAATGATATTCTGTAGTTTGAAGCAACATGGATGAGCCTGGAGGAAATATTGTTAAGTAAAATAAGCCAGGTACAGAAAGAGAAAGAGTACATGTCCTCACTCATATGTGGAAGCTAAAGAAATTGATCTCCTAGAGGTAGACAGTAGAATAGTAGTTAGGAGAGACTATTAAGAGGGCAGGGAAAGAGAATCGGGGAGTTGGGGTCAATGCCCATTTTTTAAATCAGAGTTTTTGCTATTGAGCTGTTTGAGTTCCTTCCATATTCTGGATATCAATCTCTTGTCGGCTGGATAGTTTCAAATATTTTCTCCCATTGTGCACATTGTCTGTTCACTCTTTCGGTTGTTTCCTCAGCTGTGCAGAAGATATTCAGTTTGGTGTTATCCTATTCATTTACTTTTGCTTCTGTTATCTCACATTATAACCAAAGGCCTAGAAACTAAAAATAGGGAAAAACCTTACCCAAATATAGCAGAAGTTAGGAAATAATGAAGATCAGAATACAAATAAATCAAGAAGAAAATTGGAAATATCAATAAAAGTAAGAGTTGGTTTTTTTAAAAAACTGAACAAAATCAACAAACCCATAGTTAGACTAACTCAGGAAAAAAAGAAACTCAAATATATAAAATTGGAAACAAAAGTGGAGACATTACAGTGGATGCCTCAGAAATAAAAAGGAATATAAATGATTATTATGAACAATTACATGGCAACAAATTTGATAACTTAGAAAAACTGGATAAATAAAAAAAAAATACAACTTACCAATCCTGAAACAGGCAGAAATAGAAAGCCTGAAGAAACCAATAACAAATAAAGAGAATTACATAGTAATTGAAAATCTCCCAAAAAGAAAAAGCTGAGGACCGGATGACTTCATAGCTGAATTCTACCAAACCTGCCAAAGAAAATTAATACCAATAGTTTTTACAGCAAGAGGAGATACTTCCCAGCACCTTTTATATGGCCAGATTCACCTTCATACCTAACCCAGGTAAAGACTCCACAAGAAAAGAAATCTATATGGCAATATCACTGATGAGCTTTGATCAAAAATCCTCAAAAATTAGTATTAGTAGCAAATTGAACTTTAAAACACATCCAAGCTTAGAAATCATGACCAAGGGGGATTTATCCCAGTCATGCTAGGCTGGTTTAACATAGGCAAGTCAATCAATGTGGTACATTGCACTACCAGATTGAAAAATAAAATCACATGATCATATCAATTGGCACAGAAAAAGCATTCAAAAAAGTTCAACATCCTTTTTGGATTGGAACTCTTGAATGTTTAGGTATAAATGGAAATTTCCTTAACATAATAAAGACTATTCATTAAAAAATCACAGAGATAACACTGCAATTAATGCAGGGAAACTTAAATTTTTCATCTAAAATCTGGTATGAGGCAAGGATGCCACTTGTATTCAACATAGCACTCTCAGTACTATCAAGAGCAACTACACACTGAAAAGAAAAAAAATTGTCCAAATCAGAAAGGAAGAAGTAAAATTATCTCTATTTGAAGATGGCATGATCCTACATGTATAAAATCTCTAAGGAATCCACCAAAGAACTGTTACATCTAATAAGTGAACTCAGTAAAGATGCAGGATATAAAATAATCATACAAAAAGTTATGAAATGCATATATATATACATAAATAACAAACCAGCTGAAAATTAAAAACAAACAATCCCACTTCTAATAACATCAAAATACTCATGAATAAATTTAACCAAGGAAGATAAAACACTATACACTGAAAAGTATAAAATATTGTTGAAAGAAACTGAAGAGAAAACAAATATTTCATGCTCATGGATTGAGAAGAATTACTATTGCAAAATGTCCATCCCATCCAAAGCAATATAGAGACGCAGTGCAATCCCTATCAAAATCCCAAAAGCATTCTACACAGAAACAAAAGAAACAATCCTACGTTTTTTGTGGAATCATAAATAAGACCCCAAATAGCTACAGCAATTCTGAGAAATAATAAGAACAATGTTGGAGCCATCACACTTCCTGATTTGAAATTATATTACAAAGCCATAGTATTCAAAACAGCAAGTTGCTGGCATTTAAAAATAAAAAGACACATAAACTCATAGAACAGAAAAGAGAATCCAGAAATAAATCCAAATATATACGGTCAACTAAGTTTCAACAATGGCACCAAGAAGATACAATAGGGAGAGAATAGTCTCTTCAATAAATGCTGCTTGGAAAACTGGATTTCCTGTATCTTACACCATACACAAAAATTAATTCAAAATGGATAAAAGACCTAAACATAAGACCTGAAATCATAAACCTAGGAAAAAAACATAAGGGAAATCTTTTTGCCATTGTCCTTACTAATGATTATTTGGATATCGAATCAAAAGCTCAGGCTAGAAGAACGAGAATAAGTGGAAGTACTTCAAACTGAAAAACTTCTGCAAAGCAAAGGAAACAATTGAGAAAGTAAAACGCAACCTACAAATTGGTAAAAAAAAATATTTGCAAACCATATATTTGATAACCAAGCTATATAAAGAAATCAGTAGTAAGAAAACATATGAGTATAACCTGGTTAAAAAATGGGCAAATGATCTGAAAAGATATTTGATCAAAGACAACATAAAAATAGTTCACAGGGACATGGAAAGATGGTGGACATTACTAATCATCATGAAAATGCAAATCAAAGCCACGATGAGCTATCATGTCACATTTGTTAGGATGGCTATTATCAAAAGGACAATAGATGACAAATGTTGGTGAAGGTTGGTGATGGGACACAATAACTAACTACATTGTATATTGACAAAATTAAAAAAAAAGACAAATAAACAAATGTTGGTGAAGGTGTAAATAATAGGGAACCCTAGTCCACTGTTGGTGCAGCCATTATGTAAGGCAGTGTGGAGGTACATAAAGAAATTAAAAATAGAATTACCATGTCACCCAGCAGTCCCTTTTCCAAAAGAACTGAAATCACCACCTCATACAGATACCTGCACTCCCATGTTTATTGCAACATGGTCACAATAACCAAGGCACTGAAATAACTGAAGTGTCTACTACTGGATGTATGGAAAAAGAAACATATACACAATGAAATTTTATTCAGCCTTAAGAAATAAGGTATTCCACCAGTGTTCACAACATGGATTGACCAGGAGGAAATTATGCTAAGTGAAATAATCCAGACAGAGAAAGAAAAATATTGCATAATCTCAC